TCCCTGAAACTGTTCCTTGCGAATTACCGAAGGATAAAGGTATTCGACACGAGGTCGAGCTTAAACCAGGCTCGAAGTATTGTGTCATGAAGCAGTGACCACTGCCTCGTGAACAAGTACTTGCGATCGACAAGTTCTTTGCCGACCGTTCAGCTGCGGGCCATGTGAGAGAAACAACTTCCCCACACATCTCTACGACCTTCTGTGTGCGAAAAGCAACAGGAGGGTGGCGGATTGTGCGTGCATTTAACAAGTTGAATGCTGCAACGGTACCGGCTCAGACGCCGGTACTCAGGAAGGACGTAATCATTGATGGCATGTCAAAGAGTACCATCTTTTCGTCCATGGATTTGATGGATGGCTTCTATCAAATCCTTATGCGGGAACGGGATATACTCTATACCGCAGTTAGCACGCCTAGCGGCATGCTCTGGGAATGGCTAGTAATGCCACAAGGGCTTAGTAATGCCCCTGCCACGTTCAACAGATGTGGATCACATCTGTTGAGACCAGTACGAGAATTCGCGCCGAGTTATTTCGATGACGTATTCATCCATAGTCGGCCTTGGATGGAAAGTCGGATGTTGAGGTTCACAGGTACCACGTCCGACAAGTTCTTACAATCATGCGAAAGCATAAATTGTATGCTAACCTCAAGAAGTGTATATTTGCAGCAAGCGAAATACCACTTCTTGGGTGCATCGTTGGTAAGAACGGTGTACGTCCTGATCCCGAAAAGATCAAGGCGATCACCGACTGGCCTGTGCCGGTCGATGTCAAAGGTCTTCGAAAATTCCTTGGGCTAGCGGCGTATTTGCACAAGAATTCACGCAATTACGCCGAGATGACTGTGCACCTCTCTCGTTTGTTAAAAAGAACGAGAGGTGATTATGGAACGCTGAATGTCAGCGCTCCTTTAATGGTATCAAGCAGAGCTTGATACAATCCCCAGTCCTAGCAATAGCCGATCAGGACAGGCCATTTCATGTGGTCTGTGATGTCAGCGATTTCTCAATCGGCTGTGCATTAATGCAGTACGATCTTGAAGGCGTTGAACGCGTCGTCTGCTATCAGTCGCGTCAGCTGCAACCAGCTGAGCGGAACTATCCAGTGCATGACAAGGAACTCCTTGCCATGAAGTATGCACTCGCGAAGTTCAGAGTCTATCTATTAGGAGATAGACCCTTCGTTGTTTACACTGACCATGCGTAATTACGCACGGCAGTGAACAGCCCGCACCTTTCACAACGAATGGCGCGGTGGTTGCCATTCTTTGCAGAATACATCTTTAAGGTAGAGTACAAACCAGGACGACTTAATGTCGTCGCTGATGCACTCTCACGTCGGCCCGACTTTGAACCAGTCGTGAAACCCAACAGTGAGACAGTCACTGTTGCGGTTATGACGTCCTCAGTAACATCTTCAACGTTACATGATGATGTGAGGCGGCGTATGCCCAAGATGGTGAGATTGTGAAGTTGTGGACACATCTCTCACAACCATCTCGAGAATCGTTGAAACGATTATCGTCTGCGTATCTATCTGCATCAGATCGATACACTACTCGCAACGGTTTACTGTATTATACAGCCGTTTCTGGTGACACACCACGTGTTGTCATTCCAGATGATACTGATCTGCGTTTGCGGATCATGTTTGAGTATCACGATGCTCCTATAGGAGGACATCGTGGCCGGGAGAAAACATATCTCACGGTGAGTCGAGACTTTTACTGGCCCCGCCAGTATCAGTTTGTGCGACAGTATGTTCGCGCATGCGAAGTCCGTCAACGAGTGAAGTCAAGTCCTTCACTGCGTGCACCTTTACAGCCTCTACCGGTTCCGGCAGAGCGCTGGGAATCCATCACAATGGATTTCGTCTTCGGGTTATCCAAAGACGCACGCGGGAATACGGGTATTCTCGTATTTGTTGACAGATTCAGCAAAACGGTACACCTTGTGGATGTACCAGAGTCAATCACGGCAAGTGGCTGTGCTTGTGTCTTTATTGACACCATCTTCCGACTTCATAGGTTGCCCCGTGAACTCGTATCAGACAGAGATCCACGATTCACTGCTGATTTCTGGCGTTCCGTGTTCAAATCACTCGGAACGCGCTTGAAGATGTCGACATCTGATCATCCAGAGTCAGATGGTCAGACGGAACGTGCCAATCGTGTCCTTGAAGAGATACTTCGAGGATACGCACACTCCTTTAAGAGTTGGAGTGAGTTTTTGCCAATGGTAGAGTTTGCCATCAACAACTCGGTGCATGCGTCCACGACACATACACCGTTTTACGTGAATGGCTTACGCCATCCGCGTGTACCCACTTTACTCGAGTGTAACTCTGGTTTAAGGGGGGAGAGACTCGCGCGAGCAAAAACCGATTTGGTCCACGCTCATCACTCTCTGACGAAGAGGTCATTGCGTTTGATGCCGATATCGACAACATCGAAATCGAAGAATATGATGCCAGTGAGAGCGAGGAAGCCCTCACTGAAGAAAAGATTGATGTTGCTGCAGTGCGCTCACAGCGCACTGAAGCTAACGAGTCATCAGATGAGTTCATACTGGCTCGTGAAAAGGTAGTCCGTTTTGTGCAAGACTTCATCGCCGAAGCAGTGGATAAGCAAAGGCAAAACGCTGATAAGAATTGAAGGGCAAACACTCTTTTATTTAATAAAGGTGACTTAGTCCTACTGTCTACGGTTAATCTTACCAAAGCATGTAGTGACTAACTTGGGTAGAAGTAAACTACTACCCAAGTACATCGGTCCATTTCGTGTATTGCATCGCCTAGGCAACGCATACACGATCGAACTGCCACGTAAGAGGCGAACGCATCCCACGTTTTACGTCGGTCGGCTTAAGCCGTACCATCCGTACGCTGCTTCTTCCGATGAAGAACGCCCTTGCGCTCAAGCATCTCGCAGAGAGCCTTGTGCTCCCGATGGTGGACATCAACAAGGGTCTGAAGAGCAGTTATCTCAGCCCGAGACCGATCAACAATGCCACGAGCTACCCTTAGCTCGTCACGAAGAGATGTCAGAGATCTCTCGTTCTCAAGCTGAGCAAAGGCAAACTCAGCTCGATGCTTCGAGGCAGTGTCCACCATCTGGAGACGCCTATTCCGCTCATGCTCGAGATCGTCGCGTAACCCTTGCGTTACGCGATCAAAGAAGCTCTCGGGAACACACCGATCCACATGATCGTGTGGAGAGCGTCTTTCCTCCTCCTCCACCTCCATTAGAGGACTCTCGCGGTGGCCAGCGCTATCTAGTAGAGCAGCTGTTGAACCACCGCGATGTGAACGGACGTCGGACGAGTTATCTTGTCCGGTGGCGCGGTTATCCCCCGTCCTGGGATGCTTGGGAGCGCCGCTCCCAACTGATGATTGACGTACTGGGTCTGGTTGAGCAGTACGACGCGGCACATCCTGTGCCGCAGAAGGACCGCTGGAGAAAGTCTTCCCGGCACGGTCGTAAAGGGATTTCAGGTTGTCAATCCCTTCGTACATCTCAGTAGAGACACGTACGCGCCACCACGGGCTGGTAAGGAGGTAAGCCTCCTTAGGTGCTCGTGCAGAGTTGTTCACACAACATGGGCACGAGTCTCCCCAAGAGAGGCAGGGTAATCCTTTCTCCCTTGACAGACGATGCAGCTTGTAGCGTGCACCTGTCGGGGTTCGCTTTTCAAACTTATCACGAGCTTTGATAAGTTTGTCGTTCCAAGCGTCACGACCTACATCCTCGAGATTATGGATGTAGGCGTTCCACGCCTGAAGTAGTGAGGGACCATCACGTTTGTGATTCCCACTGTACCATCGATGTTTAAAGAAAGCATCGATGAAGAATTCATTCTCAGCGCGATGGTTTTTCGCACAGGGGTCAAGGTGATGGATCCTTGACGAATCGAACAACCGTGTTCGATAGCGATCACTCGTCGTCGCCGACAAGTGATCCATGACGGATTTTGGAGGCATCCATGCCTTCTTTTCAGGAGCGAAACGCAACACACTGCGGTCCTGCTCTTCCTGCGACGTGCCGACAGAAGGACTGGCACCTCGTTGCGAAGTGGTGTCAATAGGAAAAGCGACACCACTGTGAGCGCCCGAGTCTTGCGATCTCGAGCGCCTTCGCTTCGGCGATGGTTTATCTGATTCGTCAGATGAACCAAATATGCTACGACGCGTAGCATCATCCATGCCACGCTTGGCAGGCGGCTTGGTTTCGATCGCCTTCGATACAGATCCATCTGCCGTATCAGGATAGTATGAGACACCGAGCTCGTACTCTGTGAAGACATGAGTGTCTTCATGACGAGCGCCTGCATCACCAGCTGACACAGGCTGAGTCGCTTCAACAACCGATGACACATCTGTTGCAGCGGTTTCTGCTTCGTCGTCTGCACAGAGACGTTCAGACGCGCTCTCAGCGGCCTTGTTTGCGCACCGCATGGACATGTTAACCATGCGATGAAATGTTGGAAAGTGGACTCGGACCAACAAGTGCAAACCCTGTCCCAAATGATTTGGAACGAGTATCCATTAAGTCAATCAGTCACTAACGTGACTGATGGTTAAGGGGGGCTGATGTAACGGGGTGAATCTTTACAGAACAATTTATAAGAAATTGTTGATAGAATACAACGATAAGAGTTATATTCTCAGAATATTGTCATAAGGACAAATACTCTGCAGCACTTACGAGTAGTTCCTGATTGGTTGATATAGGCCATTATATCAACCAACGAAGACACGCCACGACAGACGCACGCAATGAGTGGTGAGCAGATAGTTGACATGCACATTTGTATTCAGACATAGTTAGATGCGGATAAACAGTGATTTATTGCAGACATTAACTATGATAAATACAGTTCTACTTTTTACTTTAACCAAGTACTCGCTTCTCCTTACCGTCTTCTTCTGCACGTAATCGGTCCAGCCAACACAGACGCCTCCTCCATTTGAGCCGGCGTCCGATCCTTCTCTGTCACCTAGGACCACTCGCAATTGCTTGAAGCCACCACCAATTTTTTAGGCACCTCTTCGACAGCCGCAGAAGATGTCGAGTGCCGTGGCGTCTCTTGATAAGGCGCTACTCTAGGCCAGACCAGTGCCACACTCTTAATCTTGACCAACACTTCCTTGGCAAACACGCCAATGCTCTCGACTGTACACTTCAGACCGTCCGTCTTCTCCGTCATGAGCTTGTCAAACGGCAGCATCAAAATGCTTGTGCGTGCTTCGTGCACCGCTCCTATGGCGCATTAAAACACTGTCTTGAGATAACTTATTTTCTATCGCATTTAAGCTAAAATGTCTTGCAAATAGTTAGTTTACACAATTTGGTTGGGTGTGTACGCATTAAAGGGTGTGTGTGCGTACCTATCATTTCCTGATAATAATTGTAATTGCATCAACCTTCACGAATTGTAAACGCATTAAAAATTGTAAATACAAGCTTATACAATAAATTGCACCACTGAGTTTGTTAATCCAATTTTTTCCGAATCATTGCGGTTCTGGTATCAGCAACTTAAGCTGGCAACACTAAAAGGAAGGGATTAGAACAAAATTTGGCTCACAAAGGTATCGTTTTTTTAAAGGCAGATCATCAGAATCGGTTAAGCTGTGTAGGTTTTTGTAGTTAGGAGCAATAGGCGCTGGAGCGTCCGGAAAAGTAGGTAGCTGGAATCGTGCGTGTAGAGTTTACACCGTAAATAACCTCGATGATGCTCCTTCTCTTACGAAGTATTTCATGCGTTTGCCAGAAGGTCGTCCACAAACCAGGCATCCAATGTAAGCTTGCTGATACTAAGAACGTATTGTTGGCTTTGCCAACGAGAGAGGTTGTTTTTAGGCTGTTCACATCGTTGAAGTGTAGTTTACCAAAAGTTTACAATTCAACGTTCGCAATACTGTAACATATTACATGCTGGCTAAGATTAATGTAAAGCCTAACGCTGATAATTGCGCGGAAACATCTCTACGAGCGTGCTCTATCTAGCTCCTTTGCATTTTGTGATACTATTTTTGGCTATCCTGTAGCCGTGGCAGTTTTATCAATTTTCAACTTTGTAGCGCAAGGAAATCTTTCAGGTCCACAGTCAATCTCTTTAGGCTCACGCTTTCATGTCGACCTTAACTTAACGCAAATGTAAGCACTGCACCTTTTCACATTACTGCGAGCGGACGCTGTTGGTCTGCTATCATTCGATGTGGCCGTACAAAGCTACTTACGTAGCACGCGTTGCGGTGGCGAACGCAACCACACGACAATTTACTGCAGCGTGGTGGCTCTGGACGTACAGCGAGGGATGTTCCACACCGACTTGAGTACTTGAAATCCATACGCTGCCTTCAGCACAGTCTGTATTTGGACACGGACCTCGTTGATTCCTTCTCGCGCAGTGTCGAGAATAGCTCCAAGTTTCATCCCATAAACAAGCAACATCAATACAGCTTAGGCCTGCAGAACATCACACACGCTAGTTTTAACGGGAGAGCAGCCGGTAGGAAGGCAATGAATGTTTAGAATTTGACTATCACACGTTTACGGACTGTCCTGGCGCTCTCTGTAACGGGAAAGCCCGCTACATGATATTGACACTAAACGGTGTCAATAGGGATATTGTCTAGCATGACAATATCTCACCAATATAATTCGAGGTGGATAATATTGAAGGAACATTATCCCCTTGTAAAATAATACTCATGCGCTGCTCAAAGATTGGTTGATAAAAGACAAATCAACCATAGACTGCCACCAATAGCCGCTAGACGCGCGCAATGAGTGATGAGCAGCTTTTCGTTATACGACGACTTACTTTAATATAGTTGGATGAAGATTAAAGTTACATTGATAGCTTAACTATATCAAATACAGTTCTATTTTTACCCTTTACTCAACATAGCTGTTGAGTAGATTAGATTCCTCTGCACTTACTAGTGCACGTGAAGTTTCGCGGCACCCCAAACAAAGGGTGCCCCGTTACAACTGGTAGCACTTCGTAGTCTGTCCAACGACTGCTCAGTGTCCGTCTAAGATGAACGTGTTGGACGTAGAAGACGACAGCTTTCACGTCACACATGAAGGCTACTCCCATCTGAGTGACTCAGAGTGGGAGGTAGTCGGCCACATGAGTGTGCTCATGGGAAAACCCGCCATCAGTGGCATGTTGGAGTGTCTAAGCAGAGACCAGCAATTTATTGCTATCAACAAGTTCCTACAATGGGAACTTGCCGTCGAAAGAGAGAAGATAGCCTTACTACAACAGCAAGGATCTCATCAGTCGATAAGCGGGCCGATGCACATACGTCGACCCGAAACCTTAAAGATTGACATCTCAAGGTATAAGTGAACCGATGAAGATTCCCTTTTGAGATAATTTGTTGAGTTAGACGACGCCATCAGGGCCCGTCACATCGAGGTTGACGAGATGCAAGTCACTTTCTCCCTGTCAAATTTGACGGGACGAACAAAGACTTGGGCCTTAGGGCTCAACCTTCACGACCCAAACGTGTTTTAGTCATTGGAGGTCTTGAAGTCTCGGCTCAAAGAGACGTTTGAGCCGCCGAGAGCCGAGTTCAGAGCACGCTCTGCACTCTTGAAGCTAATACAAGGTAAGCGTGAATGTGCACGATTACGCACAGCACCTGCGCTACCTTGCGAGTAGCGTTACGGAGAACCCTGTTGATGAGCACACGCTCATCAACGTGTTAATCTACGGTCTTGTAGATGGGCCGGTGAAGACCTGCATGTTTCGAGAGGACTTCCATACGCTGGAAAAGACGATAGCGTATGCGGTACAAGAAGACTTCAGCCTGAGACAGTCTCAGGCTAACTCGTCAAACTATCGTCCGGCGAGACGACAGGAAACAGGAGGTCCCGAACCAATGGAACTCTGTTACATCAAGAGCGAGATATATCGCTCTCTGAGTCACAAGCGAACGGCAATATGCCATTGCTGTCAGAAGATTGGACACTACGCTTATGAGTGTAGTGTCCCGGGCACTGCATCAGGTCCAAAGATAGGACGTGAAGACGACCGTTGGCAAAGGAAAGGTCCAAGGCGTGGGTTCGACCATGTCGCTAAGCCGCGACATCAAGTCGGACCGCCAAAGAACGGACAAGGCCAGTAGGGGCAGAGCTCCCTGCTGATTCAGCAACGTCAAGAGAACTCGCAGGACCCTTGACGAAGATTGCTCCCAACACACAGGCGCTGTGTGTTACTGCCCCTAGTGATGAGGTGTCCCTCATCACTTTGAAGATCGAAGTGACACGTGGAATATCACTTCGCGCCCTAAATGACTGTGGGGCGTCGAACAGTTTTATTCGACGCCAGTCGCTAGGGGATGGTATACTCAACTATGTTGAGCTAGAGTTCCCTCCAACGAGGATGACGGTGTGCCTTTCTACAGGCGCATCCGTAATAGTGAACAAACGTGTAGTAGAAATCCACTACACGCTGGAAGGGAAGCAGTACGATGATGACTTCATCGTACTGGATTTGGATGGAAATTTAATGTCACCCTCGGTCTGCAATGGCTTAAAAGGCATCGGCCATGAGTTAGCTGGCAGCATCGATCCGTAAAATGCCTGCCGTTTTCTCGTCAGATGGCCATACGATGAACGTCTTGGAGTGTCCACAAGCGTGTGGATGTACTACGATTGAGTGCGATGGCCTCACTTGTGGTACGATCGTTAGTACGATTGCACAAGGTCACAGTGTAGAAGTCCACTACACTGTGGAGCCAGCTTCCGGTACCTGTTTAGAGACACAGGCTGCGCCGAAGGTTCACCACTCGAAGAGATCGAGTGGACTGGAACACGGATGCTCACCAAGAAGGGTGCATCCAAGCAGAAATTATTCGCTCAGTCTGAGTCTTCTCATCGAGGACACTTTCGTCCATCGATGAACTACTGAGAACCCGTTCGCTCTCATCAAACACTTGTGCCGACCGAATATCGGCGACGTACTCGTCCTCTGTGACGAGTAAGCAAATCTGCTTGATCTTGTCACTACGCATCTCTCGCAAGAATCTGTTAGATTCTAGCGTTGGCAACTTGACCACCTCCGAAGCTGACTTCGGGGGCGTCACCAGATCAAGTGTATAAGCGCCTACACTTGATCCGTCATTTAACAAGACATTCACTGTCTCGGTAATTTCCTGGGAAACACATCCGCAGATGGTTGGGGATCCACACCCTCAACATAACCATCTCGGGAGGTATCTTTCTCAGGAATGCTGGAATTTTCTTCTATTAAGTGCACTATCACGGTCACGTCCTCTTCGACCGACTCTCTTTTAGTCGAGCGGGCTTGCTCTACGATCGACTCACTGTGAGTCGATCTCGCTTTAACGAGTTGTTCATCCTGAACGATACACGTCTCAATCCTGGGAGTCTTTGATGACGAATCCTATGTATTATAATCTGGTCGAATTTAGGGATGCTTTCCGGATCCGTTCCATGCGAGCTGCCAAAGCACAAAGGCACTCTCGGCATGAGATCGAACTGAAACCCGGTTTGATATACTTTGTCATGAAGCAGTGGCCACTGCCTCGTGAGCAGATCGCAGCGATCGACTAATTCTTTGCCGATCGCTTAGCGGCTGGTCATGTGAGGGAAGTAACATCCCCACATAGCTCTCCGACCTTCTGTGTGCGAAAGGCCACAGGAAGGTGGCGGATAGTGCACGCGTTCAACAAATTGAACGCTGCAACGGTACCGTCTCGGACGCCGATCCCAAGGAAGGAAGTCATCATAGATGGTATGGAAAAAGCACCATCTTTTCGTCCATGGATCTGATGTTTGGATTCTATCAGATCCTCATGCGTGAACGAGATATCCCGTACTCATCAGTGAGCACCCTCAGTGATATGCTCTGGGAGTGATTAGTGATGCCACAAGGGATAAGAAACGCCACTGCAATGTTTACCAGATGTGTTACGAATCTGTTGCGATCGGTGCGCAATTTTGCACCGAGTTACTTCGACGATGTCTTCGTCCATGGCCGGGCTACGGATGAGAAAGACGGACGTGGAGGTTCATAGAATCCACGTCCAAAAGGTTCTTACCTTAGTGCGAGAGCATAAGTTGTTTGCGCAACTCAAGAAGTGTATACTCGCAGCGAACGAAATACCACTTCTTGGCTGAATTGTGGGTAAAAAAAGGTGTACGCACTGATCCTGAAAAGGTCAAGGCGATTAGCGGCTGACCAGT